CACACACACACACACACACACACACACACACACACACACACACACACACACATTGCTGCAGCGCCTGGGGAGCAGTTGGGGGTTTGGTTCTTGCTCAATGGTCTCACCTCAGTCATGGTATTGAGGGTGAAGGAGAGCTGGTTATTCACTCCCCACCCCACAATCCCTGCCAGACCTGAGACTCAAACCCACAACCTTCAGGTTACAAGTCCAACTCTCTAACCATTAGGCCACGACTGCCCCGATATATGATATTAATGAAATAAAAGGCCACTAAAGAGTGTTTAAAGAGAGACACTTTCATGACTGATTCTTAATAAATACACTTTTAAAACATGCACTTTAATATAATGTCAAATAAAAAATGTTTACTTTAATGTATATTTTTATTCATTAAGTTTTAGGTCAAAAGACAAATTCAAATGATTGCATACATACATTTTCATCTAATTGCAATTAACATGCAATTAAATGTCCAAAAACATTAAATTCAGTTCACACGTAAGCATATTCTTTAAAAAGGATATTATTTCCGTTATAAGTACTCATTTTTAAAAATATGCTAATTTGTAGGCCCGCTTCCTTTCCACATGAAAATGACTTAATCAGCATTAATGATGTCTTCAGATGTATTCCCCTCTTTGAGGCTAGTGGCTGTACATTCATTCAGAGAAGTGATAGTTTCGTTTCTCTGCAGTCTGCAGCGTGTAACTGTTCACTGGAGACTATGACTCATTCGATGAATTGACGGTTCGTGTGAGAGAATAAAACTTTGATAGTTCATACTGCCAAATATATACACACACACACACATACATATATATATGTGTAGTATCAGTAGGCTGTTTCACTAAAATATCTTTCTGTCAAAAAAATAGCTCACCTGGATCCTCAAGTCCGGGGCGTATGATATCCTCAAAAATGACGCCGCTTTCAGTTGCCCGGTTGAACTGTCGCGTGTACATGTGCAGGTTGAGGATTCAGCCCATGAGGGTGTGCTTTCTGTCCAGGTTTGGGAACTCATCTTTAGGGGAACTTCTCTTCAGATTCATTGGGTCACGGGGGAGTAAACTCTGGCCAAAAGACATCCGACAGATACTGCTATTAATAATATTAAATTTTAATTCAATTATATATTTTAATTAATGAAGAAGCAGGTATCTTTTCAGTGCAAAGTCATTTTTATTACACATCATACTGGACAAAATGTAAAATGTTAATGTAAATTTGGATCATGATCACATTATATAAACATTATATATATATACAGTATATATATAATATGTAAACCAGTGTTATTATAGTATCATTAAGATACTATTAACAATTTTGAGTAAAAATTTTTAGCAACCTTGTGTTGTAAATGAGAAATGTTGCTTTGGCAGCTAGATTAAATAACCCAGATGGCACCTTGATATCAGTTTGACATCAAATATTAGTCAAGATTTGATCAAGAAGCTGTAACATCTTAACATCTTAATCTACCAGTGGTAATTGGGTGAAAATAGGAAGTTAATCCCACACTGAAATTGTTTTAATGTATCTGTAGGCCAGTATATTTGACATTCAAATGACATCAAATCAACCTCATGTCAAATTTTTGACGTCAGTTTGATTTGCATATGTGACCTGTTTTTTTTTTTTGTTTTTTTTTTTAAGTCAGATGTCTTTTTAACATCAATTGCCCACTACTAATTTTTGTGTTTTATTTCAAGTACTGAAAATGTTTATTATTATTATCATTATGGTTTTAGTTTTAATTAAATGTAATAAACATGATGTGAACAGTGTTCATTATGCATTTATGTTTTGAACTCAAACCTGCGAGAGGACGTGGTTGTGGCGATCCATTCGAGATCTGTGCAAGAACGAGATTCGAGAGCTATGCAACTGTCTGGCAGCACCTTTTTTTTTCTTTTTTTGTCCACAAACAGGCAAGAGTACGGGACTTTCCACTAGCTGGGTGTTAATGGGTTTGGTGTATCTGTGAAGGGGAATACCTCCAGCACAGGCCTGTATTTTGACTCCTTTGGGTGCTGAAACAGAAATCAGACATGAGACAAGAAGTCTCAAATACCGCTACACTAATGCCACACAAAATTGTGTTTGTTTTAGTGTTTTTTTTTTTCAGTCTAAAATGAGTAGTTAAAGGACCACATGCAATGGCATTTCATGCATCCAAAATATGATATTTGCGCTTAATCATCCACATTTTTTCTCGTTTCCACATCTTGAGCTTTCTTTTGTCAGTTTGTTTTCCTGAAAACGCTTGCACACACACACACGCACACACACACTCACGCACACTCTCACTCACTCACACACACACACTCACTCACTCACTCACTCACTAGACGTAGCTGTGGACGATATATATCTATGAATAGCCAGTGGGGCTCATGGTCATATGAGCAGCTATTGTCCCGTCACTCACCACACAAAGGTGACACACCCATGCTGGTGTCATGTTGCCTGCCTGTCATAATGCACCTATTTATACGCTTGTGTCAGTGTCATACTTCACGTTGAAGCTTGTAGGCCTGTACATTACCAGGCACAAAATATTTTTAGTTTGGTTCAATTGAAGCCATTTGTGAAATTTTGCATTGCAAATGAATCTGATGATTACATGCTTTGAGAGGAAAAGGCTGCGTACTCACCATATGTGTGAATGTGGTCTAGGTGTGAATTCTGATCTTTCGTAATGTACTTGCTTTCATCACATCACCAAACATCACCGTTATCACTGATAAAGATAAATGTGAAATAAAAAAATATACAAAAAAAAAACAGAAGTTAATTTATTAATACAGACATTTTCAGGTTTAACATAAAAAATGGAAGGGTCATATTTTTGTTCACTAGAGGTGAAGTAATGCTGGTGAGCAGCTAGATTTGTACATTTTCTGAAGAAAATTGAAGTGGCCCTTGCAAAAGCCATTACCTTGCCAGGTTAGGGTGTTGCTAAGAGGTTCGGAGTGTTTTTAGTGCACTGTTATACATTTACTTGTGTGTTCTGACAGGGCATGTTGTATTTAGCATGTCGATATGCAGTTTAGCAGTGCTCGGCACACTGCTAAGGTGTTGTTAGCAGTTTTAAGCTCAGGTGTTTTATGTGGTTGCTAGATGTTTCTTATGAACTACTGTATTAGCTCCCCCCCCTCCCACACACACACACACAAAAGGTTTCTCATCGCAAAACCATAAAACTCTCATCTCAGTCTGAAAGAAATGGTTCACTTGAGCCTGATCCAAATGAAATATCTATCTGTTGTGGAAAAATAATTGCCATTAAATCTTTAAATCCAACTAGTTCCATAATTGGACTCAAAAACACAGCGTAGTGTAATGCACAGGTCTACACAGCATGTTTATGTGCATCTCTACAATATAAAATCATGGCGACGCCAGTGAGGAACTGGTCGAGAGAAGAGAACATTAGAATACACTTTATTCTCTCATTTGCTTTGATGTGTTAGAATATGGCAAGTGTTGGGGTAACACATTACAAGTAACGTAATCAGATTACTTTTTTCATGTAAATAGTAAAGCATTACTTTTAAATTTGCAATGAAATATCTGTTACTTTTTCAAATAAGTCACGCAAGTTACTTTGTTTTCCCATGTATTCACAGACAGCTCTTCTGTCCTCACGTTGAGAGAAACTGGGAGTCAGAGGCAGAGGCGCTTCCTTCAGTCTGACGCTTATTAATATCACTTTTGGTGTGAAAGGAACTTTACAGTTGCCAAAAATATAACTTTTGGGTTTCTTTGTTATTAAAAATCATACAAGTAAGCCCAGCCCAGATGAGAGAAAGTAATGCAAAAGTAACGTAAAACATTACTTTCCATAAAAAGTCACTAGGTCACACAATTAGTTACTTTTTTATGGAGCATGCCTAACACAATATTGTAATGCGTTACTTTTAAAACTAACTTTCCCCAACACTGAATATGGAATATGAACCAGAGTCATTCAGATAGCTAGCTATAAACCACTGAACTAACTTTAACATGAAAATAACTTCTGTAAAGTCTGAAAATATCAGCCAGTTGTTGGGGTGGGCTTTTACAGCTGCGACCACTGAGCTTCAGAAAAACACACTAACCACTGTCCTTTTTCCTCGACAAACACTGAATATAGCAACGATCAGGCGTCAAGACACACTATTTGAAGCGATTTTTTTATTGACTAAGTTGTAGACAGGAAAGCAGGGGAGAGAGAGATGGGGATAGATTAAAAAACATTAAAACATGACCCAGGCCAGAATCGAACCCAGGTCTAAATAAGCCAACAGGTTGCAGACAAGTATGCTACGATCAGCACCACTCACTCGGACAAGATCAAGACCATTAAGCAGACATGGACCTTAGCTGGAAATAACCAGTAGCCATCATACAGTGCTGTAATTGCAGAAACGGTTATGTTTTGGGACTGACACTGTTCTCATGTGCAGAATTTTGTTCGTTCACATCCAAACTGATATTTTCATAACACATAAGTGTAGTACATTCAACACCTTCAGCTGGTTTGAACTCATTCATGAATGAAAATCTGTGCATGTAAACATAATAATCAGTGCAACTACAACAAACGTCTTCAAATGACACTCCAGTGAATCCTGGACACTTGTTTCTTTAAAGTCAAAATTCATGCTTGTAGAGCTACAAGTCCTCTAATCCAGTTGTGTCCACCTTCACTTTGACGAACAGCGTGTCGTCTCTCACATAAACGGCATTTCGAGGGGCCTCCAGGTCGCCGTGGGATATGAATCTTGGGAACCCTGTCGCTACATTAGCATCAGATGTTGGCCGATGAAAGCTATCGCTATTGGTATCAGGGGTGAAAGTATTGCTCTGGTGGTTCCTCGAGCCGCTTTGGTCCAGCAGTGTTAACGTTATGTTCTGTCTGAAAGGCCATGGTAAGAGCGAGTCGAAGTCTCCGCGCATTATCGTGATGTAGAGCGACAGGTGAGTGCCTCTCCCTGAGCTGTCCCCGCCGAGGTAAGCCCGCACACTGAGCTTGTAGCCGCTATGACTGGTGTAGAAGGGGGTTGAGTTGAGCGGGGTGCCGGCCTCTTTCCGGTGGCAGTAGTCACGCACTTTCCAGATGAGCTTCCCGTCGTAGGAAGTGGATTCGAGCTGGTGGAAACGCTGCTCATTACACTGTAGCTGCTCCACGTGGATGTCTAACAAGCGGGTATGACGCTGACACGTCTGCTCTAACGCACCTGAGGGACACAAACACACATAGTTCTACTGTTACAGTTCTACAGAGACCAGAAACAAACTCTAGAATGTACTCATCTTCTTCTTCCAAACCTGTATAGGCCATGACACACTATGCCAGGGGTCTCCAAGCTCGATCTTGAACTCCACCTTGCCTCAACACACCTGCTTGTAAGTTTCTAGTATGCCTAGTAAGAGCTTGATTAGCTGGTTCAGGAGTGTTTAATTAGGGTTGGAGCTGAACTCTTCAGGACAGTGGCCCTCCAGGAGTGAAGGGGGTGTGGCACACAGCGGCCACAAAGGGGGTGTTTGTGAGCACCCTTCTGAAAGCTAAAATGACGAATGGGACACCCTACGGTCTTGTGGACTAAACGGACATGCACACACAGTGGCCATTGTAAGTCCGCAAAACCGCAGCATGGTAGCCCAGGCACGCATGGACAGTAATACATGCGGTTCACATGGCTCTTTGGGGCAGCAGCGGTACACATGTCTCGGTGGTAGATCTGCTTGTTTGGGAGGTATTTGTTCTATTCTGACCTGTTTTCATGTGTGTGGATACATGCATGTCCGCTGATGCAGTAGCTTGTATTCTTACACTCAGCGATAGGGCTGTCAAAAAAAAATTCGAATTTCGAATATTTGTCGAATTAAAAAAAAAAATCCACATTCGAGTGCAAAAACGTTGCATTCGAATTTTAGGTCTGCGTCAGGCGTCAGGCAGCCTATCAGTGTCGCACGAGATGCGATGACGATGTATGTGTCATTGATTGCATTTGAATGCTTTTGTTAGTTGGTTTTCAGTCCTTTGTATTAAACTATACATACATGCATGATGCTTTTTTTTTTCTAATTGTTTAAGCAAATGTATTAATTATATATGGTTTATAAACATTATTTTAAACATTATGCACTTTTTTCAAAGATAGTCGTGTTATTTTATTACGCTTTGAAGAAACGTGCATAATATTTTGTTCGATGTGCCCTCTTGTGGCCTCAGGAGAGAAGCCAAAAGCTTTTTTTCCTAACTGAAATTATGCCTTTTAAATTCAAATATAATTCCAATTTTGATAATATTTAAGTAGAAAATTCGAATTTAGTTTTTCAGTCATTTTGACAGCCCTACTCAGCTACATGCACTTATTTGGCTGTATTGTCCATTTCTTGTGTCTCCTGCTTTGTTGGGGGTTTGTCTCATATATGTGATATGTGCAGCAGCAGTATTTCTTACATGCTCACAGCAGCATGTTAACGGATGCACTGCAGCAGCAGCAGTGTAGCAGATCTATTCCGCCAAAACCAAACACATTGACATTGCCATGTATATTACCATGCTAAACTAGGGCTGGACGATATGGCCAAAATTTAGTATAATCCCTCCCAAAAAAATAAATAAAAAATACTGACTCCAAGCTTTTGAATGGTACAGTGTATAATGCTACAAAGGCTTTTTATTTCAGATAAATGCTGATCTTTGTATCTTTCTATTCATCAAAGAATCCTGAAAAAAAAATTTACTCAACTGGTTTAAATATTGATAATCAGCAAATCAGCATATTAGAATGATTTCTGAAGGATCATGTGACACTGAAGACTGGAGTAATGATGCTGAAAATTTACCTATGTATGATCACAGGAATAAATTACATTTTAAAATCTATTCAAATAGAAAGCAATTTTAAATAGTAAAAATATTTCAAACTTTTACTGTTTTTGCTGTACTTTGGATCAAATAAATGCAGGCTTGTTGAGCAAAAGAGAATTCTTAAAAAAAAAAAATACAAAAACATTAC